TTTTTCTATTTCAAAAATTGAATTTTTTAAATCATCAACATGGTATACTAAAAATCAAAATATGAACAAATTGCACTCGTATATACATATATGCATATCGGTACGTGTATATAAATATATGAATTGTGTCTCTCATCACAACACGTATTTTGATAACCTTCACTTCCCATAATTCTCTCTAACTCTCACTCTTCTTCATATATTTCTCTTAGTTGATTCTTATGGATCCACCATTCAACGAAATATACAAAACCCTTTTGTACAAACAGATAACAAACACAGAAAACAATGTTCCCGAAATACCCTTTAGCTTCTCTGTCACGGCTATCGTGGAAGAGGTGGAGCTCCCGGTGATTGACGTCAGCCGCCTGATCGATGGAGCCGAAAAAGAGAGAGAGAAATGTAAGGAAGAGATTGTGAGAGCTTCGAAGGAGTGGGGATTTTTTCAAGTGGTAAACCATGGAATATCAATGGATGTGTTGGAGAAGATGAGACAAGAGCAAATTAGGGTTTTTAGAGAGTCTTTTGACAATAAAAGCAAGTCGGAGAAGTTCTCCGCCGGGAGTTACCGGTGGGGTTCGCCGTCAGCCACTTGTCTCCGGCAGCTTTCTTGGTCGGAAGCATTTCATGTTCCCATGACAGATATCTGTGACAACAAGGACTTCACCACCCTCAGGTACACAAATATTGTTATCGATCAAACTTTTTTAATAATTTGTTTTTTATAGATTAAATTTAATATTTTCACTATTTTGAAAATATATTTGTAAAGTTCCACTTAACCTTTGTTACTTCCTTGAATTTTAGTTAGCTTCTAATAACACATCATCATCTAGAAACTAGTGTTTCAGGATTAATAATGAGTAAATATAATAAAATGATTGATTAATGTTAGTGTTTGACTTAGTAACATAATCCGCATATCATTTTCATTAAATAGTGAAATAATTAGGAACATGGAGACAATCGCAGTATTTAATTCAATATATGGCGGTTTGAAGCATATAATAGAGTGTTGTCATTTATATTTAATTAATGTTGTTGGGTACATATAAATAAGAGAAAATTCTACAAAATAAAGTTGTTGGGCATTGGGTCAAAGATTTATTCTCCATCCTCATGCGTTTCTATGTTTTCCTATTTTTTATTACTATTTTTGAATAAGTCTAATTTGTCAATAGCAAGTTGGCATGTGAAATAAAATGAATTAATAATATTATTACTTTTAAACAAAAATATATAAATAAAATATTATGTGTTTAGAATATATATAAAAAAAGTCATAGCATAGTTAATTAGTTAACCCTAGTTAGTTCTAATGTTGGTTTTAATTACTTGGCTTCTCGTATGCCTACGAATTTTAAACATTTTTTTTTTTAAACATGCTAGCATTGTTTATTTCGAAAAAATGGATTTCTTAAAATGATTTTGCACCAGTTGCGCGACACGGAATGGTTTTTGTAAACATTTTTTTTTTTTTAATCTTCATATGCAAAAAAAACAATAATAATAATTGCTAATGCTATCATATTAATAAAAAAATAGGATTCAGACCAACTGATTTTGGTCGGTTTTTGTCCGGAGAAATAATCGAGAAACCACCATTAACCAACTCGTGGTTCGAAAGACAAAAACCATCAACCAACGCGTTACAAGACAGAAGTTACTATTACAAACATTACACATTTGACATGCGTTTTTACATCTGAAAACTTTTAACATGTCTACATAACTGAAATATAATTATCGATATACTAGCTAGTACTACTTATACATAATACATGTTACGAATCTACAATACATATAATCCCTTTTTTTCAGTACATGTAAGATATATTATATTGTAAAACCAAAATCAACTACGCACTTTACATTAATTCAGCATATACATATATCTTAGTTAAGTGACATATATTTTTTCCACGTAGGATAATTTTCCTTTTCCGGTCAATGTGGATTAATTATAATATTGCTGAGTACCTCTAAAAATTTGTTGACAAATTAAAAACCCCTCTAAAAGCTTAGGTACGATCCTTGAAACACATAGTACACTTTGACAATATAGATTACAGTACTATATTGGAGAGGAAGGAAGGAAGAGTCACGAGAAAACTGTCTGTTTAGCAAAAATGGATAATGGAAGGGAGAAGAAGTACTCGAACATGCTAGGATATATACACACACACACACACGCGCATATACTATCTTGTGATGAGTGTGTGCGCTGGAATATGTACACATTCTTACATGTACTTGTATTGCATGCATGTGGTTGCCTTACACATCTTATGCAGTTTCAGCTTGTGTGTTTGTGAATATGTATATGTGTGACCACATACCCTTGCCACCTCTTCATAGACTCATAGTTGGCGTCTCTTGATCAGTCACTATTAGTTGCAATTTGACAATAAATTCTAAAACTTAATTATTTATACATCCCAATAAATCCACTTCAACAAACAAATACTCCATTTTTGGAAAACTGAATATTTTGGAATTTAAATTTTTATTGTATTTTTGAATAAATGAGATTTTTGTGGGTTTGCATATTGTCTATTGGTCTATAATTCAGAGTTAGATTAACTTTCATCAGTAAAAATTCAAACTAATTATATACATATAGAATTTTGACAGACTAGTTGACCAAAAAAAAAAAAAAGAACCATGACAGACTCAATGGGTAGATCAGAAATGCAAATGCCTAAAAGGCTAAAAACATACATATGATCATTTTACTAAAATTTCAATTAAAAATTATAAGAGAGTCTAATGTGTATAAAAGTTTTTGAACTTTTTGATCCATAAACTTTTCGAACTGAAAATTAATGTGTATATATATAATCTTTTTGTCACAGCCGAGCAAATATCCGGATAAGTATATAGAGTTTTTTTCTTTTTTTTTGACTAAAGAAGTGAATAGAGTTCATCACTCGAATGATCAAAGCTGATGATACGTACATAGATGCATATACATACAATGTAGCCAAAAAGAGAAATGATATAGAAGACTCAAAATTGGGATATGGTCCATGCATGTTCCTAACAGGTAGGAGATATCTCTATCATAGAGAAGCAATGGATTGGACACGTACACGTACCTCTCTTCCCAACCTGATTAAACCCTCCGCTTTTCCTTTTTCTTTCTCGTCTTGTTTTACTCTCTTGGGACCCTTCTCCATTATAATTCACATGTCCTACAAACTCCTTGCCAGTTTTCACCTCCTTGCTTCTGAACTGCACCCCGTTTCTCTCCCTCTCGGAGAAATCAATCTCTTTTCTTTCAATATATGTGGTGATGATTTTATATGTGATCATTTGTTTTCTCCCCTGTAACATGCACCTACATTATTCTATACGTCAAGGTTCTAATTAATAAGTAACAATTCTCACTTATCAGTAATGTAAACTACCCACAATTTCTACCAGATCAAATAATCATGTAAAAATGCTATTGCTACCAAGCCTACCATTACCATTTGTCTTTTTTTTTTTTTTTTTTTTTTGAATCAACCAAAAAAGGGAAGAAACTTTATAACTTCATGGTTTTTCAGATAGTCTTTTTTGTTTGTTTAACGATTCTATAATTTATTTCGCATTTTTTCCCATTTTTTACGTTTCTCAATAGCAATACAACAAATAAATAGGACTTTTCTATGACTGTTATCTATTCCAAGTCAAACATTTCACCTTATAATATGATCATTTGATATTTATTTAACTTTTATATCACAGCTCAACAATGGAAAAATTTGCTTCGGAATCGGAGGAGCTAGCATATATGTTGGCTGAAGTTCTTGCAGAGAAATCAGGACGAAAAACAAATTTCTTCAGAGAAAACTGTGTGAGAAACACATGTTATCTTAGGATGAACCGTTATCCACCTTGTCCTAAACCATCGGAGGTTTACGGTTTAATGCCACACACGGACAGTGATTTCCTCACGATCTTATATCAAGACCAAGTCGGAGGACTCCAACTCATCAAAGACAACAAATGGATCGCCGTTAAACCTAATCCTCGTGCTCTCATTATCAACATTGGCGACTTATTTCAGGTAATTAAGCTTAGCTAAGCGAGTTCCTAATACCTTTTATTTTTATAACAGAGAGATACGTACAGTTTTGGTTAGGTTTGATCTAATTAGATTCGGTTGTTGTGTTCCCGTTTGTGATTATGTTTGCGTTTCTATGCTATGTTGATTTATCTTAGGAAGAGACCTTACAATTAAATTTAGTTTTCATTCAATTTTTCTTAATGGTTTTAATTTGGTTTCGCATCAATGATTATTTTTCGTTCTTCTGCTACAATCATCATTCAACATTGTTTACAAATGTATTAACTATATACGTTTTGGTAGGCATGGAGCAATGACATGTACAAAAGTGTGGAACACCGTGTGATGACGAATCCAACGGTGGAGAGATTCTCAACGGCGTATTTTCTGTGTCCATCATACGACGCCGTTATAGAGTGTTCAAGTGATTATCCCGCTTATAGAAATTTCAGCTTCAGAGAATTCAGACAACAGGTTCAAGAGGATGTTAAGAAGCTTGGTTTTAAAGTTGGTCTCCCTAGGTTCCTTAATCATGTCTATTAATTTATACACACCCACTTTTTAATTTATTATCTTAGGTTTTATGGTTTATTTGAATTGTTTTCATTTTTTTTTTCATATAATTATTTGTTGATTTTTCTTAATAAATATATTATTCTAGATAAAAGAACTATTTATACCAAAAAAGGAAATATTATTAATTTAAATAAAATCGATTAAAACCAAATTTTAAGTTAAACCGGAGCTTAATTCGTTTGATTGTAAACTTTAAAGGGAAAAAAGAAACTGAAATCTTATGCCAATTATCGAACTTATACCTAATGCGTTCCAAAACCATACGTGCACCTTTTCGAAGTCCTGGAAATACAAAACTCGATTTAAAGATTTTTTTAATACCAAATCTATTATTTGAAAAATAAACCGAAATCAAAATTCTGATTAAAGTGGTTGGTTAAGGTTTAACCACTTGAGTCTCGTCGAAAAAAAAGGATTTCGAGAGGGAAAAAAAATCCTATTCAAATTCTGGTATTTCGAATTTATATATATTTCCAAATTTCAAAAGATATTAAGCGAAAGGTCACGATAAAAAGTTAGATTAAAACAAAGAAAATAAAATAAAGAAATGGCTTTTCTCTCGGCGATGAAGTTGCATGGACGTCCACCACTGATCTCGTCCAATCTCCACCAAAACTCCAAACCTACAGGTTCGGATTCCGTTTCCTTTAACGCCTCTGAACTTGGCTCCGAACAACAGCCTCGGAGATTCAGCTCAAAGCTCAATCGCTGGAACAGGGCACGAGTCTTAAAGTCCGGCGTGAAGCTGGATCGTACGATTAATAATGGGTCAAAGTCAAACAGTACGACCGGTCCGAGGAGCGGGATTGTTAATTCGACGAGTCCTTCTGATATTTCGACATTGGACAGTGACGTGTCATCAATTAACGGAGATAACCAGACGGATATGACGGCGGCGAAGTCGATTTACATAGTCTCTGACGGAACTGGATGGACGGCGGAACACGCCGTTAACGCTGCCTTGGGTCAATTCGATTATTGCTTGGTCGACCGTGGCTGTCCCGTAACTACACATCTCTTCTCAGGGGTACTCTCGACTTTACTTCTCTCTCGTGTCGTTTTTTTTTTATTTTGGCTATTAACGGATTTTTCAAATAACCAACTTTAAACCGAATCGAATCAAATGACATCCGATAGTTTAGGTGGGTATTCGGTTTTCCGGATTAGCTTATAAAACCAAAATTTTGTTCAGTTTAGTTTGAAAATTACGGTCGGTACGGATTGGAGCCGGGATTAATTTTGGATTGAAAATTATAAAAATGATTTATTTTTATTAAATTATACATAACTTAAAATATTAACTTTGGTTACTTACGATAATTTATGTTGGTGGTACATATTTTGGATTCGGTTTGAATAATTTAGTTTACTATAGACAATTTTATACCGTTTGGGGTACAATAAAATTCGGCTTGTGTTTGGATTGATGGATTTTTTGTTCGGTTCGGGTTGTTTTTCTAATTCTTGCTCAACATGTTGGTATTTTCAATTTTTCTAATATGATTCGGTTCGGTTATATATAAACCGAAAATGAATCAAATTGGTTTATGAAGATCGAGGATGGAGAGACGTTAATGGAGATCTTAAAACAAGCGGCAAGAGACGGAGCAATGGTAATCTACACTATAGCTGACACATCAATGGCAGAAGCAGCCAGGAGAGCTTGTAAGCTATGGAGTATCCCTTCACTAGACATCTTCGGACCAATCACAGACTCAATCTCCTCTCACTTAGGAGCTAATCCTTCGGGTCTTTCACGTGGCGTCACAAACTCATCTCTCAACGAAGACTACTTCAAACGAATCGAAGCAATAGAATTCACAATCAAACACGACGACGGTGCTTTGCCTGAGAATCTTGAAAAAGCAGACATTGTTCTTGTAGGTGTCTCTAGGACAGGGAAGACACCACTCTCGACTTACTTAGCTCAAAAGGGTTACAAAGTCTCTAACGTACCGATCGTGAACGGTGTAGATCTTCCCAAGACTCTGTTCGAGATTGATTCAAGAAAGGTTTTTGGTCTGATGATTAATCCGGTCGTGTTGCAAGGGATAAGAGAGGCAAGAGCCAAAACCCTTGGTCTTGGTTCGAGTTTTAAGACTCAGTACTCTGAGTTGAAATCTGTTAAGGAAGAGCTTGAGCTTGCTAAGAGAATATTCGCAGAGAATCCAACTTGGCCAGTGATCGGTAAGGTTTTATATATGATGAGGAATTTTGTAGGATTTGATTAACATTTTAAATTGTTTTTGTTTTGCAGAAGTGACAGAGAGAGCAATCGAGGAAACTGCGGCAGTGGTTTTGAGGCTTTATGACGAAAGACAAAGCAATCGAGCAATGCCTCGCATTTCTAAATGCTACTAAGTACTAAGTAAGCAAGAACTATTATTGGAAGAGGATTTTTGTTAATGGGAAAATCCCATTAGTACTGTACATCATTACATGACGACCATGTTATTGGGCCAACGTTAGGATCCATATATTTTCTAGCCCAAGTTGGAGAGAAGTGAGTGTGTATTTTTTTTCCCCCACAAAACTATTTCATAATGAACTAATTTTAATTTACGAAGTATCAAATTAATAACTAGATTTACAAACTCGTGTATGTAATAAAATTAATCGATTAACTATCAAACTAATAAATAATATTATACACTCTTAACAATCATGTATGTAATCATTATATTGATTCTTATTTTTTACCGTTCACACACTATTGAACTCAAAATATTAAAAAAATTATTTCTAACAAAAAAATAGTTTATTAGTGTATTATTTAGATGTTTTTTAACTAAAACTTTTTTGGTCCATCATAAAGTTTTTAAGAGTTTGGATCTACATATAATTTAGCAAAAGACCAAATCATATGATATATGAACTGCAATGATGATTCAAATTCCAAAATCATGTGTCTTTATTCTTTTATTCATTTTATATATTTATTTATATTTTTTAATTAAAATTTTAATTAAATTCTAAAATCATGTGTCTTTATTTTCATATTATTTTTATTTATTTATATATTTTTTAATTAAATATTAAAAGTATTACCAATTTTTAATTAGATTAATTTAGATATTTTATTAAGTATAGTTTAAAAAAATAAACAATAATACAATCGCTTTTGAATGTATTTTTCCAAAATTTTCTCAATTTTAGTTATGACATTGTGGCGATATTAAATATGAACTTGTATGCTACATATCGTTATATGTTTTTTTTTGTTTTTTGCCATCCATCGTTATATGTTACTAGGTATTTACCCGCGCTATGCTGTGGGATATTTTTCTAAATTTTATATATATTTTTAATATAATAAAATTATTTTTATAATGTGAATGAATATTTTTTATTTTTTATTAGCTTAAGTTATATATTTATATGTTTTAAATCTGAATAAACATTGTATATCCTTAATTTTTTACTTTTTAAAATTATAAATAACTATTAAATTTGTTTAGCTAACTAACTATAAATGTATATATAAGAATAAAGCAATACAATTTTAAGTACTTTCATGCTAGTGGTAAATGTAATATATTTTCTCCACTAAATTACCTTTTGATCCTCCGTTGTAATTATAAAAAACAAAATGCCATTTAAAAAAGATTTATTAATTAATATGATTATTTTGAAGTACAAAATTTATTTATTTATCAAATATTTATTATAAACATATGTTTCTAAAACCACCAAACTATAATCAATAACATTCATATTAAAACCATTGTTGTTGCTTTCGAACCAAACTGAAAATTCTATTTTAACTCTTGAACTTTCGATTTAGTTGAAGTTAAATAATTAAATTTTGGTTACTGTAAACATATTGTAACTTGAAATTTTAGTAAAGAGAAATTTCAATCTTCTTACAAAAATCGAGAAATCGCATATCCCGTCAAAACAAAAAAACTACATATTCCTACGAAAACCGAAAAATCACATATTCCCGCCAAAACCAAAAAAAAATTATTTTATCGTCAAACATAAAATTTTATTTTCCCACTAAAACAGAGAAATTGTATTTTCTCGCAAAAACCAAGAAACCACATTTTTCCGCAAGAGACTGTGTTTTTCAGCCAAAACCGACAAATTACGTTTTTTCACCAAAACCAAAAAATTTCATCTTCCTACAAAAACCTAAAAATCGTATTTTCCCGTCAAAACCGAAAAATTCAGTTTCCCGCGAAAACAGAGAAATCGTCTATTCCCACCAAAACCAAATAATTAATTTTCTCGTCAATCCAAAAACTACGCTTTTCTACCAAAACTGATAAACTAAGAAACCCCATTTTTCCGCGAAAACGAAGAAATCATATTATCCATCAAAAGTTGAAAATTTGTGTTTCCTATCAAAACAGAGAAATCACATTTTTTAGTCAAAATTGAAAAGTTGCATTTCCCATCACAACTAAAAATCACATTTTCCCGTCAAAATTAAGATATTTTGTTTTATCATCAAAATCAAAATTTTTTTTGTTTTCTTACCAAAACTAAAAATTCACATTTTCACGCCAAACTCAAGCATTTGCTTTTCCAACCATAACCGAAAATTATGTTTTCTTACCAAAACTAAAAATCACATTTTTCTATCGAAACCAAGAAATCCTCTATTTTCGCCAAACTGAAAAATTCCCTATTCCCGCCAAAGCCTAGAAAAATTATTTTCTCGTCAAACCGAAATATCGTATTTTCCTAACAAAACTGAGAAATTGTATTTTTCCGCCAAAATCGTCAAATTGCATTTTCTCAAAAAAACTGTGAAATTGTATTTTCCTGCGAAAAGTCAGCTAAAAGCTGAACTATATTAGGATAATAATTTGGGAATCTTTCTACCTAAAAAGAAAACAAAATAATTATCCAACTTAAAATTAAAATATTGTTTTCTGAGAAAGTAAAGTAAAAAATTGTTAGTAGTATCTTGTTGTTTATCCATATTTCTTTAAAAAGAAGAACTCATAAATCTGATGCAGCAGACAGAGTAATAAAATAAGATTGAAGAGACCTGATATTTAATAATAATTTGAAGGAAAAAAGAGAGAAATTTTGTTTTGTTTTAAATAATTATTTATATCAAAGGATCTTATGGGCTTTCAAATGTAATGAGTTTTATTTAGTTATTAATCTTGGATAAAATTTTTTGACCCAAATGAATTAAAAGTTTTTTTTAAATGAGCTATATTAATAAAATATTCTTATTGATTGATTTTTTTGCTGAGATGTCTTGTTGAAAAAGCCTGAAAAAAGCTTATGTGTCATCACCTGAAGAGACTTATGGATTATTGTTGTGTTGATTATAGCCATATTAAAGACACCTTTGCATCTATATCATATATGACATGATGAAAACTTGGATGTTCGATATGCTATATGCATGTTAGTAATATGAATACTAATAGCAATTGTAAGTTGTAACTATGTAGTTGGAGCAATTTGTTTGGTCAATAAAATTTAGGTGTGGTTTGACCAATGATACAACCACAGTAAGAATTTTTTTTTTTTTTTGACAGCTACCACATTTAGAATTAAAAACAATTATTTTATAAGAAAATTACTAAGCGACTAATCAAAATGTATATATAAGTATTTAGTTTTCTTCCAATGATTGTTTTACCATCTCAATTGTGATAAACAGCTGCAGTTTTCTATTACCCCAATCGCATGCCCTATTTTCATAGTCTAATATCCACCCCACAACTTGTGTAGGAGTTTTGTTTGGCAATATTTCAACATCAAACTTTTAAAACCACGTTTCAACTGTTATCAGCAAAATTCCGAATGTGTTTTGTGATGTATATACATCGGCAGGTAAGTATATTCTTGCAATTTAGTCTATGATAGGGAGATGTTACTTTATGATCCAAATACTTGCAGACATCTAAATATAGTAATAGCTTAGGTGAATAGCATGTGGTGGACTCTTAAACGCTCCACGCTTGTGTAGGTTCTATTTGTTAAGGTGGTCCATATATTACCCAAAGTTTGAACTTTTAGTTTTTCAAAAAAGTAATCTCTAAGTACCCGTGGATGGGGGTAATTTGATATAAATCCCAGTTAATTTATGAACGTCTCAAAATGGTAACTCTCTTGTGAGAAAAAAAGTGTTATGAAGTTATTAGACCTCTCTAAGCCGAAAAACGATTAGATGGGGGCAAGGAAAAAACAATCTCAAACTAAAATAATTGGTCTCCTTTGCTTTCTATCAAAATATAATTGAAATGAAATGGAAGACATCAGAAAAAAGAGAGATAGAAAACACAAAAAGCACACGAGCGGAATAATGCAATGTCATTCAATTCTAACACGACTCAAAATGTCCTCCATGTGAACCCAAACCAAAACTAAAAATGCTCACGCCGATTGATTTATATATATACATCAAGAAACACAACAAAATGAAAAAAAATAAAACACATAGTAGGCAAAAATAGATTTGAAAAACAGAGAAAAAATAATTTAAAGAACAGAAGAGAAGATTCTCTGTCTTTGTCACAATAGTCATAAACTCTTGTCTTAAGCTTTCTCTTCCAATCTTCATATGTTCTAGTGCGTGCCCACTTCCCACTTTCTCTCTCTTGCTGTTTTCTTTTTCCATTTTTATAAAAATATATATACAAAATAATTATTATCACAACCTTCCGCTCTTCTTCTCTTTTTATTTTTTGTAATGTTCTTCTGGTTCATCTCCTCGAAATGTAGGTCGGTGAGTTTGTGGCATCTTCTATAGCCACAAACTTTGGTAGGTCCATATCATATTATATGTATATATACGCTCTTCTTGTATTTTTCACTATTAGTCTAGAGGCATATCTTCGAGATTAGACTTGCTGATCGAGAGAGTAAATATGATTAACAAGATTGATCCCATGCTTGACCTGTCACAAAAATTAACATTCCATCAATACATATCCGTCAAAAACAACTTTACTTATTAAATTGTGATAGATACTCCGATTTTCAGTTGAAATTCCATGACTGATGATGATAATTAGTATATTAAACCCAATACTGGCTGAGATAAACTAATTAATTGATCCATATTCAATCCGAAAAAGTAAATCAAACCGGAAAGTACTACTAAAAACATGTTTTATTTAGTAGTAATTAATTATAGATGCATCATGCATGCATTTTAAGTTTTATATTATTACTTTTTGTATTCTGTAAGCTAATAATATATTTTTAGGTTAATTAAATAATTAGATTACGTTGGAAAACAAGGAAGTGAAATAATTACTTACAAAGTTGCAAAGAAGAGGACGATTTTCTTCGGATCAAGCATCCAAGAAGAGTGAGAGCGTTTAAAACTCGATTTCCTTGCAAAACCGAATCTTCTTTCTCTATTTTGGTCAGATATTATATTTCCTGCAGTCGCGGCAGCCGAAGTAACGGTGATCTGATGTAGCGGCGAGGCTGAAACAGCAGTGGCTGCCGTTGTGGCCGTGCCTGCATGATCAGTGGGGCCCACGGTGCTCGGCTTTTCCGGCGTGCTTGACCCTACAATTCATCAAATGCCACACCACAACACAAGCTTTTAATTAATATACAATGAATAATGATTCTTTTTCTTTATTTGACAAGACAAAATAAATTGAATCATGAACGTATTCATTAGTAATTGGTATGCCAAGTTTAAAAATAGTATGAGTGAGCATGCGGTGCAGGAGAATAAAGAGTTGGAAAATATTGGTTTGTGTTGTGGCCTGCGTAAAGTTATACTATGCATGTAACACAAATAAATATTCAAAATAAGAAATCAAGAAATAGAGTTTTTCCCATTGGTTGATCTTGTAAATATGTGTATATGTCTTAGATTGCAAGCATGACGTTAAAAGCTAGCTAGTCAGATGTATGGGAAAAAACAATATTTTTTAAAAAAGGAGAATTGGTGAAGTTTCAATTATAAAAAAATATAAAACTTAGTTACGGTCTACAGCTAAAAACGCATGGGTTGGTCACATCAACTAAATCCCACCTAACACTTTGTAATTTATACATTCAAAGGAAAAATAACCAGCGGATTAATATTTATTCAACGTTTTTGAGATTAGGCAAACCGAACCTTCTTGCGTTAGCTATAATAATAATACCCAAAATCATTTCATGAAGATAAACATATCCCCTGAAAATTCTTTTGTATTATCAAAAGTCCGAGATGTATTTGTTTCCATCCTAAAAACCCATATTATTTTTGTCATAAATCAAGATTTTTATATTACAGATAAGCCCAAATCGAATTTATTACAAGAATCTGCTAGGTCCATTTGATACTATTATGCTATATCACATGGTAACAAAAAATGAAGAAAGAAACAAAATGTACCACTGGGCTCAAGAAAAATGCATTTGTCCATATACGCGTAATATGAAACGTTAGGTTAATGCTTACTTACTTTATTGAAAACTAATCGATGTTTCATGTCTTAAAGGAAAGGTTCATATATCATATTATTGATATATAGAAAAAATGATTTAAATTTTACCTCTAAGTGGGGACTGAGGAAATGAGGTCTCCTTGTCATTACCATTTGCGTCACAATGGAGTTTTCTCTCGTTGTTGCTTCTTGGAGACCCTTTCCTGGAAACACTTCTCTGCAGCTTTTAAAAAATATTTTTTTCCATTTTTCAGTTTTTTTAATCATAATAAATAAAAAAATAATTCAATTATTGATACTCCCATATGAGAAATTCAGATATCTAAAATAGGCTTCATGCCAAATGCGAATTACCCAGAAAAAGAAACCATGGAAATCCGTGAGATGATAATACAGTTTGAAAGAACAGCAACAATATTTATAAAAATTTAAAAACTAACACATAAAGTCAACTTTCGGTTGTAAACTAACACATAATTTTATATATTTACTGGAAAAAAAAATGAGAAAATTGAATTGACGACTCAAGAGTAGTTATAAAGGTTATGGGCGATTCTTTCATGATTTATCAGTTTCTCACCAAAAATTAAATACCCAAAAGACAAAGACAAATAATCTAAAACAGAGAAGAAAATAGAAAAAAACAATGAAACAAAATTAGAAATTCTGGTGTTTCTGACAAAATTCAATGATAAAAACACGGTTACTTAAAACAAAGTTCGAATTTTTAAAACTTACAGTAATTCTGGGACTTGAAGAAGATAAGTCTTTGTGGAAAACAGGAGAGAAACTTTCGACATCGATCGTTACAAACCCATCTGGGTTAACGGATTTTTGAAACTCGGATCCGGTTTCTTGACCCGGAATTGCTCCACCGGTATCCATCGATCTTCGACAGGAACAAAAACTAGAAAGAAACAGAGAGAGAGAGAGAGAGAGAGAGAGACGATCATCATGTTCATGAAGAAACAGAGGTCAATCATAAAGAAAAACTCGTAATTCTCTGTTCGTTTTGAAATTGTAATCGTAACTACAGAGGAAATATAAACAAGAAGATGGATGGAAACAACTTACTTTAGAATTGAAACAGGGGATTTTCGGGAGATTAAGACAGAGTCGAACGTCTCTATTGTGCTCTGTTATGCTCTGTTTCACGATGAAGAAAGGTGATTAAGGTTTTTGGTTGGAGACAAAAAGGGGAGAGATTCTGGGGAATGTCGAAACTGAAAGAGAGGAAAGGCTTTTACTTTTATTTATGTGGCGATTTTTTTCTAAATGGGTTGGTGCCTTTTTCTTATTTATTTATTTATTTCTCAAGGATAGTAGTAGAGTCACACGCACGAGAGATAAGAGATAGACTAATCAGTAATTACTTATTCATAATCATGACTCCTGTGTTTAGTTTAAGATTAGTTGATCTCAGTGGGATGAAAGATGTAAGAATATGTTAATAGTTATATTTTATTGTAATTATAAAACCTTTCATATGAAATTGGTTTATCAACCTTCTGTAATTATAAAACCTTTCATATGAAATTGGTTTATCAACTTTCTTTGAATTCGATTTATACGTGGTTTCGTGTTCGAATTTTTAAACGAAGGTTATTCAATGATATAACAAAATATCTTTTGGTTATCATTTGAGGAATATGCGATGAACAATCATTAAGGTGAGCAACTAACTTCTCTATTTTATTATCTGCTTGCTTAGGTACTCTTTCTTTTTTTTCATTTGTCTCCTTCTAATTTTTGTTTTCCTTGTTAAATTTTCCATGTTATAATTTCAAAATTGTCAAATTATTGATGAGTTTACACTTTACAGTATATGAATTTACTTATGAATTTAAATTACGTGCATAACTAAAAGTAATGATAAGTCAACCACAATTATTTAATGTAAAGTCAAAATGTAGCACATTTAGAAAATATAGCAACTAGTACATCCACAGTCAATTATTACAAAAAGATCATTTAGAGATGTTTTCCAACCATCTTTCATTTGTTTGCAGTCTAATAAATTCGTTGTTCCAAAAAATGGTAACCCTGTATAAACATTTTTTTACTTTTTTTTTTTCACAGTTTTCAACCACGCCTGAGAAAATACTTTCACGTTTACAAAAAGAAATAGAGAAAAGGAATTACCGGAGTCGGTAAATAGTGATTTTGGCATACAAAGATAAAATTCGCCACTCGTGAAGATATTTTCTTAGATAATTTGGGGGCTTGTGACTTGTGGGCGAAAATACAAAATAAACCGAAAACAAAAATGAGAGACATAGGTGACAGGGAGAGGACTCGAGCTATATGACAATTTATGTATAAAAATCACAAATAATGAAAATATGTTATCGAGTGTTTATCAGAATTGAGAATAAAATAATAATTAATATATATTATCTAGAACTAGAAGGCAAGCATTTTGGGCGTTAGATATTTTTAAAAGAATTGTGCTTCTAGACATATCCTCGCATAACTTTTTTCCCCCGAGTTATATATCAAGGACTCATCTACAAAACTTAAGGGTAAATTTTACGATTTAAGTGTAATAGTGTGTAGACGACCTTTTTGCCACAAAAAAAAGTGTAATAGTGTGTAGTCGATTATTTACTAAAAATGATATATTCTCTTTTCCAAAAAATATTGTTTGTCAAATGATGACTGGTATGTGTAAACGGCAATTATTTACGAAACACTTTGAGTACAAGTAAAAAGTATGACTTATTTGAAATGATTTTATCAATCTATACTAAGTTCGAATCTCATGATAAAAACAACAAGTTGATGATTTTTTTTTTGTTATACAAAGACATGTTATATATATAGAGATATAGAAGAAGCAAAAAAACAGAATGTTAATCGATTTATCAGGTAGATATGTTAATCTTCTCAAGTATGAAATATTTGTATACTTCTCTTGTCACAATCTTTGTATGTTATAGTCATCTTTTTACTCACGATCACAAAGAGTCTATTTGTTTTGTATGTTTAGCATTTTATAAACTAGAATAAGATAATATTGATTGTTATGAGTTTGTCTTACTATGTCAGTAGAAAAACTAGGATGCTTCCAGCCAAGCTTGTATGTTTCAGCTATAAACAAAATTAAGATAGGCCTGACATTTACTCAAACCCGAAAATCCAAATTTCACTGAAAATACTAAACGATAGATATTTTATTGTAATAAATAGGAATATTAAGTAAGATGTGATCTATACAGAAGAGTTCTTATAAAAAAATTACTTTCAATAAGATAAGTATTGAATACTAATCATTAGTATTTGCAATCTCTATACAAAAGAAAAGTAGTTACAACACATAATTTATATTGTACTTATCGAATTTGATATGATATTCTTATTATATCTGGTTCATGCTTGATTATTGTTGTATTCACTAAAGTATACTTGCTTAATTCGTATTTTAATCAGGGTTATTTCCGAAGAATTATACTATGAATTCAGTTTGGTATAGTTTTAATTTCAGTTAAACTTCTGTTTTTCAACATATTTTCAAACTCTAGAAAAGACGAGTTTCAGTATGTTTTTCTATTTTTTTTTGGATTCGCTCCTTTACATATCTGAAATTTTATTTTAACCAAATTAAATTTTGTTATTTTAGATCGAGTTTTTGATTAAATTCTGGTATGTTTCGGTTCGACTTATATAAATTAAATATCTTTATACTAGATTTATGAAGATCTAGACTGATTATCAGAAGAAAACAATAATAATAGTGGCTACCAAAAAACCATTCAAGAAAAGGAAAAACAAAACATAGTGGACCGTAAATATATAAAAGGGATTAGAGAAAATAGAAGAAAAAACATTTGATTGATCAAGGCCTAAGAGAGTGTCAAACTAATGAATTGCAGCCAGAGAAGCTGTCTCGCTAAAATACATTTTGAAATTTTGAATAATGCAACGCACCCATTACCCAAAGTCCCATACTAATAATACTACCAAATAAAAAATATAAATATCCAACTTTAAAACAGAGAGAGACAATTATATTATATAGTCTAAATAATTCACATCTTGCTGTACTTTTAACTTTGAAGTTTTAAACCCGTTAAATTGGTCTCGACGTAAAATACAAAACAAGCCCTTCACCGAAGACATTCGAAACAAAACTACATTTCTGTCATCTCTTTTCACTGTCCTTTCTTTTTCTGAAAAAGAAAAAATGTTAATATGGTAAAAGCAATTCAGTATAGTGACCGTTGGATGATATTTAGATTTTCTTCACAATGTTGTCTGAAATTGGCAGGAGAAACGAAACTAAAAATTTATTATACATTTTTGATAGGCATAACTGTTCCCTATTTTGTAGCTCTTAATCATTGTTTAGCTACAATCTTCACTTGTAACTATTTGCATCTTGAATATAAAAATCAGTAGATAAGAATTCACACTAACTTAATATGATAAATGTATCCTCATCAAAACACAATTAGTGAAAACCCTAATCAAATTACATTAACATTACTAATACTCAATTTTATTACCTCTGATTCAGGTTTTCCTCTTGTTCGAAATCCGATCTTGAACAATCTGCTTTCTCCATTGATGAATTGGGACCTGAAGTAGGAACAAAATAATCTATAAGAGCACAATTCCTCATCTCTAAAAGAAAATTTTATATCAGTTTCTTGGAATCCATTTTTCAGCTCTGTTTTAGTTGGATTCTTCATGAATATAACAGATTAACTTCAGAGATTTCTTACAGCAGGAAAGCCTCCAAAATCTCCTGGCTTAGTGATGTTTCTGGTAACACAACTATTAGCCGCAAGTCGAACCTAAACACACAAAAAAAGATGTTCTTGTGAACCAAACCGCACCAAGAACCGGTTATCTTTAAACCGGTTAAAGCCTCTTATTACCTTGGATACAATGGAGACATGGTCTCGAACAGCAGCTCGTCCTCCTAAAGCTACATAGTCACCAATTCTACAGAAACAGTTTTTGACTTTTGAGTCTTGAAAAGCTTCAAAAAATTGTTTCTTTCAATGGAACCAAAAAGGGTTCAGATTTTTGTACGTTACTGAACCAGCGATGCCTACTTGACCACATAGCAAGCAACATTTTCCTATGATCACATTGTGCCCAATCTGCAAAAATACAAAGAAAGTTAATAAGTGTTATGTTGTTTTCTCAATCAAAGAGACAAGAAAAAACAAAAGAGGCTAAAACCTGGACTAAGTTGTCTATCTTTGTATCATCTTCAATCACTGTATCTCTCCAACTGCAAAGTTTGTTATACAAAACTAGTGAAACCGCGAATACTGTTCTCATGGAGGTTAGTCAATAGATTCAAATCTGTTACCTGCCTCGATCAATGCAAGAATTAGCTCCGACTTCCACACGATTTCCTATGCTTACGTTTAAAGTCTAAAGAGGACAAAGAAAGAGAAGAGAAAATGAGTTATTGAAACGCGAATTGTTGAGTCAGATTCAAGAAATGCAAAAGGGGATTGTTACTTGGGGCTTTTTCACCATGTTTCCATGTTCATCCACATAAAAACCAAAGCCTGAACGAAGAACAAACGAACAATGAAAAAACTTAATCCCAAACCAAAGCTCTTCAAGTCTATATGATCTTTATTAATCTATGTGAATTTGTTCATACCATCTTGACCTATGCAGACTCCATTGTGGATAACACATGAATCACCAATACTACAGTTGCTGATTGAAACATTATATCTGGATAGGTAACCAAAAAAAAACTCAGCAAATAGAACTTTTAAAGACGCTGAATACAACAATAGCCTATTAGAAAAATGTACACGAAATGTTACCCGATTCTTGTGGATGGACCGATTTTGACCGATGGTCCAATAACAGTCCCAGATCCTACATGAACCTCTGGACCTAAGACCGCGTTTTCATGAACAATTGCGCCAAACTCAACCAAAGCCGATGAATCAATTTGAGCCGAGCTATGACATGTCCCTCCTCCATTTCTCCATCTCAGAAACCCTTCATTGACAATACCACCACCGGTCTCTGACGCTTGATAACAATCAACCGCAAGATTTGCAGTTAGTTTCAACATCTTGAGTCAAAGGATACCAAAACTTCATAACATTATAGCACCTTAAAGAGTAAGTTGCAGTAATGCATAAGTTAATAATAACACATTCAATCTTAGTAATATCTACAACTTCAGCAAAATCATCCCCAAGGTCTTACTTTTGTATTTTTTATGCAAGTTTTAGCGAGCTTTGTCTCTGAAGCTGAACTATATCTAATAAATAAATTGATCTATCTCAACTGAAAATATACGGCTTGTTGGTAATCTGTATTTCCACAGTTACACGAAGCCGTATGCTCTAAGGGGCATTTCCACAAACAGTTGGTGTCCCGAATAAATTTATCGAACTTAATGACAAATATGGACAGACATCCGCGACTACACTCACCTGCATTTGAAGAAACCTCAGAAGTCGCAGACCCAAATTGATAATCTGAGGAAATAGATAAACTTCGAGAACCCGAACGAAGACGACTCTGTTTCCGGATAATGGGTTTACTCAAGAAGATTCTTTGAAGAGAATTACGTACGGAATTGGAGAATAATCTCCGAAGAGAAGTCGCCATAGTTACAGAAATGGAGAAGAAGAATCGAAGGAACTGGGTTCGTATTTAAAGCCCGAAGCTTTACTTGTTTCCCCAAACTAAAAAAAGCTTTAAACTTTAACGGAAAAAAAAAACAAAAAGTAAATTTAAGGTTTTAAATTGAACTACTCTATGTTGCAATCTACTCTCTACAATCAACAAATAACGTGCAGACAAATCTGTGAGAGAAACAGCACTGATCTTCTGATGAAACCAGGCGGCGATGGCTCTGGGAGATGGAGAGACTTAGAATCAGAGCTAAGCATCGAAACAACTGATTCCATCGTTGGTCTTTTCGTAGGATGCTCTTGAACGCAAGCCAGAGCAATTTCTAAGCATTGCATCGATTGTTTCTTAGAGTAAGATTTCAGAAGAACAGGATCTATTAGATCCATTGCTGTTCCTCCAATCCAATTCTTCCAAGCCTGCAAAAAAAAAAAAAGAGCGACAAAAACTATCACTCAATCAAATCACTTTTTTTATAGATTTTGTTGATCTGTGGTTGTGTGTTTCTTGTCACTTACAAAAGTTGGGAGATCTGTGCCATCACTAAACCCTTTTCCACTGTTTCTATTACCTGTGATGATCTCAAGAACAAGAACTCCGAAGCTGTAAACATCTGTTTTCACTGAGAATCTCCCGTGCATTGCATACTCTGGAGCCATATATCCACTGCAGAAACAAGAAAAGATGAAAAGATTGATTCTTGTTTGTCTTTGCTTAATTGGTGTTTGAGTAGCCAGACTTACTAAGTTCCAGCAATTGTTCTTGTTATTGCTTGTGTTCTATCGAAATCAAATTCTCTCGCCATGCCAAAATCTGAGATCTTTGGTTGCATTTTCTCATCTAAAAGCACGTTGGAGGATTTGAGATCACGGTGGATTATGGGAAACTCAGTGCCTACGTGAAGGTAAAGCAATCCCCGGGAAACTCCTACGATGATGCTGTACCGTTTTGCCCAGTTCAACTGCTTCCGCTTGATAGGATCTACATTCATTTAGTAGAGGAAAGAAACTGAAACTGAGAAGTTTTGTGGGAATAATGTATGATAACAGAAAGGAGAGACTTTTAATATACCGAACAAGAACCGATCGAGACTTGTATTAGGGACAAACTCATAGACAAGAAGCCTTTCAGATTCTCTGATGGAGAAACCAAAGAGCTTAACGAGATTCTTGTGTTGCAGTTTCGACATTAAGAGTACTTCTGTCTCAAACTCGGCATTGCCTTGTCCTGAATGTTGTGATAACCTTTTAACAGCTATCTCTTGCCCATCTTGAAGACGACCCTAATAAGATTTGATTACAGAATTAGTGGTGTTAATCTGGAGATTACTATTATAATTAGACCAATGAATAGTATAGTAAGATGAATCAAACCTTGTAGACAACCCCGAAACCACCTTCACCAATTTTATTCCTGTTAGAGAACCCACCTGTTGCTGCTCTTAAGGTGTCAAAATCAAAATGCAATGAGTCTGCACTCTCAAATTCATCTGCAGATCGAAATTTGCAAGCGGGATAAGGAAGAATGAGATGATAATAAGGTTTTAAGCTTATAATTAAATCAGCTTACAAGCTTCTTCCTTTGGATTTGTCTTCTTCTTCTTCTTCCTCGTTAAGCAAGTAAAGAGAGACACAAGAACTAAGACAATTGTCACAATGGAAATTACCGCAAAGACGAGAGTTTTAAACCAGTCTTTACCGTTTCCTGCACGTAACAACAGAGAATCAAAAGGCGTAAATCCTAATTATCTAAATCCATGTGATGACACATTAGCTTAACTTGTAATACCTCCTTGATCACTTATTTTGGCGTCATTGTAACGAAGAGAGGAAAAAGGTTGTGAGATAACCGAGAGATCGAAAAATGGGTAATCTTCAAACCTAAAATAGCAACTTGGATTCATCCACCATCCACCTGTCTTTCCATCACAACAAGTAGGAACCCCAGCAAAGATATGAGAAAGACAGATTCCACAATCTGATTTAGACAAATCTGGTGTACACTGAGCCAGCGCATAGACCGTCCCTTTCGCTCCTGCTGCAAACTTAACCTCATCGGTCTCATACGCAGCCACAATTTTTGACCCTAAAGAATTTAATAGGTCACCTAAACCCTTGCTGAAGCCTTCCTTGTGCCTCACGCTAACATTGCTTGATGTGTGGTAAAAAGGAACTGGCTCCATTTGACCTACAATGGTTCGAATTGTGTAACGAAACATGCATTTTTCGAGCCATATCGCGGCTTCGATGATGTTAGGACAGCTTTTTACGAGCTGTTTTGCGGCGTTTGTAATGCAGCTTATGCAATCTTGATTTGGTTTTAGATCTCCTCTGCATAAAGCTATGGCGTTGACTTCGCCATCGGTGGAGATATTGTAGAAGCCGTTGATGGTTGGAGTTAGATCGGGGAGAGATGAGATCAGACGTTTGAGATTGAGAGAATATGAAGTCGTGGATGTGAAGTTTCCTCCTTCGTAGAAGCAAAAAGTGTGAACGGTGCCGTTTTCTTGAGCGTAAGTTAAGAAGAAGAAGAAGAAGAAGAAGAAGAAGAAGAAGAAGAAGAAGAAGAAAGAGTAAAACATTGAAGCAGAAGCCATGAGTGAAAGACGGTGAAAAAAATAAAAATGAAGAATAGAGTAAATCCAATGAACATCAAAACTGTTTTTTCACAATGACGTTCTTTCTCTTCTTTTTTTCATTCGGCGATTCTTGAAACATTCGACCAAAACTGTTTTTTAAACATAAAAAAAGATGATACTTATATGGTAAAATCAGACCCTAATAAATATACGCAAAAACAATTGACCAGAATTTCATGAACATCAACTGAATTTCACATTGAAAAGGTTCTTACGATTTAAGAGGAGAAACTAAATTTATAAAATTCTGTAAACATTAAAACTTTTAGATTTTCATAGATGCACACTTCTATTTTAATTGTATTGCATTAAATAGAAGTAGAAACATTTCTAGTAACATGAGCACAAAGAAAAAAAAAGGTAAATGAATATAATTAAGTAGAATCCAGTATTATTAAATTGTGTATTTGCTAAAATACATTAAAATCTAATGTTATTGATTTGTGTACTTGTCTTTTGTATTTTGAAATGCATTTTAAAGCAATGGTTTTCTTATTATATACTTGATTTTAGGTGAATTTAGTTAGAGTAGATTTTAATGTAGAGTTTTGTCTAAAACATGACTAAAACAAATACAACAAGTGTTTCTACTGGGATTTGTGATTTCAGAGATAAATCTCAAAATAAATATCCAAGTACATCAAACACACATATAGATTATAAACTTTCACAAAAATTAATTGTACTTTTCTTTATGGGATCTAACTAATCAGAAGCTCATCCATAGAATCACTTAGTTGTTTTGTATGGCTCCACAATTTTTTTTTTTTTTTGGAATATAAATTTTCGAATTCGTTTTCATTTTTATACAAAATAAATTATTATTTGACTAACATGGATTTATCATGTTCCATGAAGTTCAGAGGAGACGCTTTCTTCTTGAGCTTACTTTGTCCCCTTCTTAAAAACAAATTGAAAGCTAACACAGATTAACTTTTTGGAATATAAAATAATGCAAAGAGACTTGGCTTAAGTATCAGGCACCACATTACACTACCATGTCAAATCCGAAACCATTAAATAACTGTTTCTTCTCCCTATCTGAAACGACATATTCCACTGTTTCACACAATAACTGTTTCTTCAACTTCTTCTTAGAACTCTTCTTCCTCTGAATATTGCCACAGATCACAGGTAGATCAACGAATCTAACTTAAATATCATTGTTTAGGTTTTAAGTCAACTAGATTACTTGCAGCCTACTCATCCGAAAGCAACTTGCAAATGAAATGTGCTTACCACTCTTTGACACCTTCATATAAAGAACAAAAATGGTTTAATCAGATCAAACGCAAACAAGACAAAAGTTTCAAGCTTTAAGACAAAGAAAATGAAGACCCTTTTCGTTTTCCTTCTTCTTCTTCTCTGTGTTTTAACGATCAACGCGAATCAACAAGAAGAGATCATTCAAGAGAACCCACCAATAATATCTCATAAGATTCTCTACAGAGTCCAACAATGGAGAACTTCGTTGAAAGAATCAAGTGCTTCAGAACTCAAGCTATCTTCAGCAATCATTGTGGCTGGAGTCTTATGTTTCCTCGCTGCTTTCATCTCGAGCGCAGGTGGAATCGGAGGTGGAGGTTTATTCATTCCGATCATGACTATAGTCGCAGGGGTAGACTTGAAAACAGCTTCAAGCTTCTCTGCTTTTATGGTAACCGGTGGATCGATTGCGAATGTGATCAACAATCTCTTTGGCGGTAAAGCATTGCTTGATTACGATTTAGCCTTGCTTCTTGAGCCTTGTATGCTTCTAGGAGTGAGTATTGGTGTCATATGCAACAGAGTTTTGCCAGAGTGGCTCATCACTATTCTTTTCGCCGTGTTCCTCGCTTGGTCAAGCTTGAAGACTTGTAGAAACGGAGTCAAGTTTTGGAAAATTGAGTCTGAGATTGCGAGAGGGAAAGGACATGAGAGGCCTGAGAAAGGCAGAGACGAAACAGAGGAGGATACAAAGAGCCTTAAAGCGCCTCTCCTTGAAGCTCAAGAGAATAGAAGCAAGTCCAAGCTTCCATGGACTAAACTTGGTGTCTTGATTGTTGTTTGGGCGTCTTTCTTTGTCATCTATCTTCTCCGTGGTAACAAAGATGGAAAGGTAATGCAATTAACTCCATAGGTTAATAGATACTTATCAACTTTGCTATAGAAAAAAAAAGTAACAAACTGTGTATATGTGTTATGTGCAGGGAATCATAACGATAAAGCCTTGTGGTGTGGAGTACTGGATTCTACTTTCACTTCAGATACCTCTTGCTTTGGTTTTCACAAAGTTGGCTCTTTCAAGAACCGATAGTCTGCAAGAAAGATCCTCAAACAATCAGGTAAATGCAAGAGCAAGCTACAAACCAGTAAACCCCATTGAAAATTTCAGGCAAAATATGGGATACTAAACGGTAATTATCTTACATGAGCAGAAACATCAAGAAGGTACAAGACTGGACAAGTCCACGCGGTTAATGTTCCCGGTAATGTCATTTTTAGCCGGTTTATTGGGAGGTATATTCGGCATTGGAGGTGGAATGCTTATAAGCCCTCTTCTTCTTCAAGCTGGGATACCACCACAGGTATATAAAAGCAAATTTTGTTAACCAACTATCATGATATTTGATGAGTGTTTATAATCAAATATATGATTGATGCAGATAACAGCAGCAACAACTTCATTCATGGTGTTTTTCTCAGCAACGATGTCTGCAGTTCAGTACTTGCTACTAGGAATGCAAAACACAGAAGCAGCTTACTTGTTTTCCTTGATTTGCTTCTTTGCTTCGCTTCTCGGTCTTGTTTTGGTTCAGAAAGCGGTGGCTCAGTTCGGAAGAGCTTCCATTATTGTGTTCTCGGTCGGAACAGTGATGTCTCTTAGCACAGTCCTTATGACTAGCTTTGGAGCTCTTGATGTATGGACTGATTTTGTGGCAGGCAAGGACATGGGTTTCAAACTGCCATGTTAGGACACCAAATCTTTGGATCTGTGAAATTTTTCGTTTCTTCTTTTTTCTTGTTTTACGCAAAAGAGGCTGTGAATTGACCTCTATGTAAGAGGGAGATTTGGAGCAAGATGACATCTGTAATGTTGATACGTTTTTGTAAAAGTTAATAATTTGGGGATGTAACTATAGTTAAGACCTTGACTGGAAACGAAAGTTAAATAGCTGGTGCTAATGTTTGTAATATTGTGTTAAATCTGATGTTCTGTAAGCTCTTGATGTAACTGATAAGTGATAAGTCGTTATCAGTGGATATCATGTCGTGGATAGTCTTAGTGGAGGAGTGATTAAGAAAGGTAACTGTTTATTATACATATGGATACAGTGACATAAAATGATACATGTGGATGATGATAATGGATGTTTATTCATAATTAGATGTTTGGAAAGAGTAGAAAGGGATAAGTGAAAATGGATATAAGTAAATGGATAGGTTATGATTTGTATCTATAAAATAGTAATAATCATAGTATGAACATCCGTACATAGTAGTCCATGAAGACCTGTTCATAATATAGTGTGGCTGACGTTGTATATGTTGTTGAATTTTGATGGGTTGGTCTTGAGAGAGAGAGAAATGATTTCAAGAGTATAATAGACTTTGACTTGATGAAAGAGTAGTCATGTTGAAGAAAATGCTTTTCCTTGATATTATACTTTTACAAAGTACTCTTTTTTGTAAGTATCTCAAAGAAAAGAGCTGTGAACTAATAATTGGCAAATCATCTGAACATGTTTAGCCGTAGCTTAAGCGAGAGTCAAGGAGCTTTGTTGAAGTTTGTCTCCTAGGTACACCAATTTCACATGCGTTCACTCTTGCAGCAAACCGAAGAGAGCAAAGAGACTCTCCAGTAGAAGATGGGTCAGGCGAGATGTTTACAAACATCAAGGTCTTTGAATCTCCTCCTAAACAAGGCTGCTCAAAGAATAGGCCATTGTTACTTGATTTGCAAAAACTAATAAATGTATGTAGTCACAGAATTATGAACAACGAAAGCAAACCTGGAGCAGATATGTTAGCTTTGAGTTTCTGAAAGGAACATGATCTTCTTTCTTAGCCAATGCAAAGATAACATCACTCAAAGCCGATAAACTTTTGTTTATAGCCTGTGTCTCCTTTAATCGTTCTCCAGTTGCTCCACTCTTCGAAAGCCTCTCGCTTCCGGCAAGGTCGATTAGGTTGAGAACACCTTGCACCTGCTGTTCAGTGCTCTGAAAGAGGAGGGATACAGAAGGATTTACAAAGTTGGAAAGAAAGTATACGTGAGAAGAATCAACTCCAGATGGTAAATACGTTATTACCTCATTCACACCTGAAATTCGCAGAGTAAACACGAAATGGCTCCTCGATGATTGTTCATTCATTTGAGTCTTGCCTACTGACCTGCAAAAAGAGAATATACTCAATATTTAACTCATAATCCATGGCTTATGCATAACTAAGATGATGCTGAACATATAAAAACAGGCCAGAAGTCGTAATAGAATTTCAAGACAATACCTGCTCTGAGCAGCCTGCTGCAAGAGTGATGAGATCTTTCCAATGCTGCCTACATCAAAAACAGTCAAGTCGCTGACATGGGTGTTTCCATTTACATCATGTGTGATTGCATATTGCTTTCCCGAGGTGCCACTGTCTGCTCGCACCAACTCCATAGTAGTTGTTCGATTTGAAGAGAGCAAGTCTCTGATGGTCTCATTGTATATTTCCAACATTGATACCTACATTTTAAAAGAAACATTTGGAATCAGACTGACAAAGTCAGACCAAAGGGTGTTGACAATGAAATCAATCAATGTTATGGGCTGAAATGTACACCTGCATTTTGTACTTCCAGCCTTGTGCACCGAGGGTTTGACTGGCTTGGAATATCTGTTCAAGTGATCGAGGGATCAAGCCTTTCTGTTCTGGCGCCTCAGGCCTACCCATCATCGTGTAGGTTTTTCCAGAACCCGTCTGACCATAGGCAAAGATACAAACCTGTATCCACAAAGATTTGAAGCAGAGGCATCAGCAGAAGAACTTGTCTTCAAATTTGACACTTAAAAAAAGGAGCTACAACTGCATAAGCACAGTAGTTCATGCGCTACACATACAAAATACAGCAACATTACTTCAAATAAGTTCCTCTTAGTATAATGATATTTCCATGAAAGTTTCTCCAAATACATAAATTAATGAAGAAAATAGACCTTATATCCATCCAATGCACTTTGTACAAGTTGAGATATTTCAAAGAAAACTTCCTCCTGGGAAGCTTCGTGGTTGAAAACTTTGTCAAAGGTGAAAGGATGCTTGTTCCCTGATGACATATAAAACACCACATGGCAGGAAAAGAGGATTTAATATATATGGGAATAGTTTCCCGTGAGAAAAAAATGTAATTCAAGTCAGGCAATATCATACCACTCTGAACCAAATCAACACCTCTTCCACAAGCTTCTGTTGAAGTAGGATATGCTATAACAGTTGCTTCATGTCGTCCTCCATCATCTGGTAACAAGGGACGCACTCGGCAGAAGACACGTATATTGCCTTTTAGTTCCTGAATTTACAGCTTTTCTTAGATCATATCAAGACAGCCATATGAACACACATAGTGGTAGAAACAAAAAAAAACTCTTACAAGAATAGTGTTATGAAGCTTCTTCCGCAATAACTCTCCCTCACACAGTTGATGCTCCATGTCTGCAAGGCGGGCATTTAGTTCGCACAGCAAATGCTTCTGCTCCTCAAATTCTGTCCTAGTAAGAGATACCGATGCATCTGCCATCTGTATTCAATAATACAATAATCTATCAAAGCAGCATTTCGAAAATCAAGAGCAACTGATGCCTGATGGTACTCTTGGTACCTTTTGCTTTTCATTGGCGATTGCTAATTGCTGCTCCAACATATTTATACGCTCCTTTTGCAATGAACATGTTTCCTGCAGGGTATAACTTGCAATGTCAGATAAGAACACGAGGCAGGAATGCGGAAAATGCAACTTTGAACTGACCTCCAATGATCCTGATCTTGCTATCAAGATGTGTAGCTCTTGCGATGATTTTCCGACATTCTCCTTGTACTTCGCGATCTCTTCAGCCAGCTTTTCTGACTGTACGACTTGGCGATCACGATCAGCCCTAACTAGTTGGAGCTCACTCCGGAGATTAGTAACTTCCGTAACCAATGAATCCTTCTGCTTTTTAGCGTCATCTTGCAAAACCTTGATCGCAAAAAAAGGGAAGATGAAAAAATTAGGAAGAAATGAGGCAAATTAAGGTAGGCACGTGACTTTGACGCCAGTGGGAGACAAGAGAAACTTACTCTACTTGAAGCTAATTGATCCTGCAGCGACCTGCTGTGACCCCTTAGTGTCGTAAGATTCTCCAGTATACTTGACTTGTCTTTTTCAGCACGTGTGTGTTCAGCTCGGACTGTTTCAAGATCAGTCTGGAGTTTGCTGTTATATTGTTGCAAACTTGTGTTGTACTCTTGGAGCCTTTTGTACATATCCTCAAGAGACGCCACCTATAATTACAAAACAATCCATTTTCCATAGTGAATAACAGATCGCGCCTGGAACTAGCACAAGAAACAGATATGAAACAACTAGGAAGACATATATTGTTAACCTTATGCTTGGCAGTCGTTTTCTCTTCTTTAACTCTCTCAAGTTCTTCTCCAAGAGAAGCCTGCGCTTTCTCAGCTGCAACTCTAGATTCCGTTTCTTTTCTGTGATTTTCGATGGCATCCTAGAGTCGAACAAGTAAGAGGACAGCAAAAACAATTAAAAATTTCCAATAAGAGAGAACATTTTCAATAAGAAAAACAAGGCACAAAAAGTCTTGCCTGTTTACAAGACTCCTCCTTTGCAAGCTTTTCATGTAGTGACACTGCGTTCTCTTTCAACATTGATATAATGGCATTTAGCTCTTCCTCTTTTGTCCTAGTCTCCAACTCTGGAAAAGTTTAAAAAGTTATGTACTACAACTAAACGCATGAACAACTTGCCGCATATAAAGGATTCGCAGGAAAGAAAATAACCTCTGTAGTTGTATTTCTGTTCCGCAGATTCCAAAGAAACCTTCAGATTTTCCTTTTCTTGGACATGGGTTTCATCAACTTGTTGAAACCATTTGACACAAAGCTTCAGTCTCTTGATAATATCTGTCATTTGCTCAATCTTAGCCTGCAGCGACAAAAGGAAGAAAAGGAAAACCTTTTTAATGAAACCACCGAAGAAAACATGTATAGTCTTTATATATAACATAGAGCAAGTGGAACATTAGTTAACAAACCTTGTGATCAAACTTTCCAGCTTTTGGTCTCTCATTAAGCAACGCCAACACTTCATCTTTTGTAAATTCAACTTTACCACATTCCTCTATGCTGCCCACATCGCTGTTGGATGTGCTATCTTGTTTGTTCACAGTCGAAAACGCTTGCCTTCGTCCAGTACCTGGCGTTTCCAATTTCCTTCGCTTGTCAAAGGGAATGCCTCCGTGATCCTCCTTTCTCTGAAATCGAATCAAACATAAATCATATACAAAACTAGGTAAAGCCCCAAATGAATGATTTCATCAATATCTTAACTAGACCCATATTCCTGCTATAAGAAAGTAGAAACCCAGGATCACCCTAAATTTTCTCAATAACACATCATTAAGAAATATCAAAGCCTATGAAGATGAGACACTTATAATTTCATCTGGCAAGCTACTGAACAAAACCCAGAATTCGGATTTCAGTGATTCAAACGACGATGAAACTTGGTAGCAGAGAGCGGAAAAAAGGGGCTTACGGCGTTTGGACTGCGCGGAGGACGATTCTGATTGCGAGAAGACATCTTCGAGAAAACAACAATTCCTACAGATTTCTTCTCCTTTATCTCGTCAATTGCATAAAAATTCCGATCCGGAGGAGTCTTCTCCCAAATTTGGGTTACTCACACAGTGTCCTCTTAAAAGTCTCCGATTGATTTGAAAATCAGATCGTATACATCTCAACTGAAGACGTGAAACTAGGGTTCATACCTTTTCCTTTTTGGGGATTTTTGGGTGTGGGTGTGCGTATCTGTGACTGAAGTAGGAGAAATTCGAACGGATTTGAAACTAGATATGGCGGACTTTTGGAAAAAACTACGTTACTATTCTTGTGACGCTTGTTTCTTTTTCGATATACAAATAACAAAAAAAATCAAACGCATGGAATAATTTTGGGCCTATGAACTAAAGTATTCGGCCCATATTTATACTAAGTTCATAATACAGTAGATTATTCCATTTCACCCGTTTTTTTTACCCTCAGACAGTAACACCATTTAAGTTCCATTTCAACTAGGCCGTAGTACAAATGGAACAATTTTGGGCCTATGAACTAAAGTATTCGGCCCATATTTATACTAAGTTCATAATACAGTAGATTATTCCATTTCACCCGTTTTTTTTACCCTCAGACAGTAACACCATTTAAGTTCCATTTCAACTAGGCCGTAGTACAAATGGAACACGATGACACGTGTCTATATGCCAGTGGTTAAAACCATATCCTAATAATCTAAAGGACAGATAAGGCTTTCTTTGTCCGAAACCGAAAGCAACCAACCATATAAGAGTATAACCAATAATCGTCGCCTTCAATTTTCGTCTTAAGAAAAACAAAAAAAATGGCTTCGATGGGTAGTGGCTTACGTGGCGCATCTCCTGCCGTTCTTGAAGGAAGCTTAAAGATCAACGGATCGAACCGTCTGAACGTCACCGGCAGAGTTGCGGTGGCTCAAAGGACTGGACTTGTCGTCAGAGCTCAGCAGAGTGAGGCGGCACCGGAAACTACTCGACGGTCTGTGATTGGGCTCGTGGCTGCTGGTTTAGCCGGCGGCTCGTTTGTTCAGGCCGTTCTCGCCGATGCTGTTCCTATCAAAGTTGGCCCTCCTCCGCCTCCCTCCGGTGGTCTTCGTAAGTTAACCTCTCACTAATCTTCCAATAAGATTATCATTCTCAATCTTGTATGAGGTTAAGGAATGCTAAGATTATCATTAGACGTAATTTAGGCTAAATTATCATTACATAGATGACAAATCTTTGAATTTGGTACGTTCTTGTGAATGATATATTGTGTGTTTGTTTGTTGAGCAGCTGGGACAGAGAATTCAGACCAAGCAAGAGACTTTTCGTTGGCATTGAAAGAAAGATTTTACTTGCAGCCATTGCCACCAGCGGAAGCTACAGCTAGAGCCAAAGAATCTGCAAAAGATATCATTAATGTGAAGTCATTGATCGACAAGAAGGCTTGGCCTTATGTTCAGAACGATCTTCGTCTCAAGGCTTCTTATCTTCGTTATGACCTTAACACAATCATCTCCTCCAAAGCCAAGGACGAGAAGAAGTCCCTCAAGGAACTCACTGGAAAGCTCTTCGATACCATCAACAACGTAAGTTTCTCGATTATTATTATTATTTCAAACGCAATCTATCTGTTCTTCTGATCGGGAAGTTTTTAAATGATTGATTCTCTGGCAGCTGGATTATGCGGCAAAGAATAAGAGTACTCCCATGGCTGAGAAGTACTACGCAGAGACTGTCTCTACTTTGAACGATGTTCTTGCCAAGCTTGGTTAAGAACTTTGTATTCTGCATTTTTCTTTGTAAATTATTATCTCTTGATTTTTGTTCCTGTGTACTTTGTATCAACTCCCTGAATCCGAATTTGTGTTTCAAGATTTTACCCAAAAAAATGGTAATTTCCTGAGTACCAGACAATACTAATTCTAAATTCAGTTCGTATAATTCTGAAACCTATATTCCATCAGTTTCAGCTTATAATATGTTTTGATGGAATATGATGTTTGAATGTTTTTTTAATCATCTCAAACTTATTTTTAATGCTAGAAACAACAACACAAAATTATATGGGCAAATTAAAAAGAATCAACCTTTAAACTACGAAGCAACTACTAAAATTTGAACTAAACAGTTCTAGCTTTGGTCTCCCTGTGGCGCCTATAGATGTTTGTCAAATAAAACTTTCTGTAATCAATTTTTAATCACAGATTTATACAGTTAGTAGTGTCATTGGGCCTGAATAATGCACGGATTCAGGAGGCCCACATCTAAATTTTCGTTTTCATATGGATTTGTAGTAGTTCTTCGTCCGCCCTAATTCTTTCCCCGGCTACTTCTCCGTCGTCGTCGGCGGCTACTCGCTGACTCAGTGAGTTCCCGATGGCGAGTACAACTATTCCTTGATTGCTTACTTCTTTTTATTCTATGATTTCTATCTTCTTGTCTCTGCTTTCAACAGTGATTGAGATTCTATGTAGTAGTTTCTCCGGCTATGAATATCTCATCAGTCGCTAAACGGTTCGCGCCGGCAATCGTTCCGTACAAGTCCATTTCAATGGGACCTCCGTCTCGATTTCTCGGAGAATCTCTCCCTCGTCGACTCACATTACTTTTACAGTCCTGCTCAGGCCCAACGCTGCTTCGTCAAGGGAAGCAAGTTCACGCCTTTCTAATCGTAAACAGAATCTCCGGTGAGAGCTATATCGATGAGAGGGTCTTGGGGATGTATGCAATGTGTGGTAGCTTTTCGGATTGTGGCAAAATGTTTTACAGGCTTGATTTCCGTCGTAGCAGCACCAGGCCGTGGAATTCGATCATCACCAGTTTCGTTCGAGTGGGTTTATTGAATCAAGCTTTGTCTTTTTACTTCAAGATGCTGTGTTATGGATTTCGTCCTGATGTATCCACTTTCCCTTGTTTGATCAAGGCTTGTGTTGCTTTGAAGAATTTCAAAGGGATTGAGTTCCTTCGCCATACGGTTTCTTCTCTTGGGATGGATTGTAACGAGTTCGTGGCGAGTTCTCTAATCAAAGCTTACCTTGAGTACGGCAAGATCGATGTCGCGAGAAAGTTTTTTGATAAAGTTCGTCAGAGAGATTGTGTTATATGGAATGTGATGCTTAATGGGTATGCAAAATGTGGAGATTCTGATAGTGTTATGAAATGGTTTAGTGCAATGAGGATGGATCAGATTAGTCCCAATGCTGTCACGTTCGATTGCGTTTTATCGGTGTGTGGCTCCAAGTCACTGATTGATCTCGGAGTTCAGCTTCACGGCCAAGCGGTTGTTTCTGGGTTGGATTTCGAAGGTTCTATCAGAAACTCACTTCTATCTATGTACTCAAAATGTGGTCTTTTCGATGATGCGTCTAAGTTGTTTCGGATGATGTCTCGTGCTGACACGGTGACATGGAACTGCATGATATCTGGATATGTTCAGAGTGGACTAATGGAAGAAAGCTTAGTTTTTTTCTGCGAGATGATATCTTCAGGTGTCTTACCTGATGCCATCACGTTTTCTAGTTTGCTTCCATCGGTTTCCAAGTTTGAAAATCTTGAGTATTGTAGGCAGATTCATTGTTATATCATGAGACATAGCATACCGTTGGATATCTTCTTGACGAGTGCTCTTATCGATGCCTATTTCAAGTGTAGAGGTGTTTCGATGGCGCGAAAGATCTTCAGGCAGTGTAACTCAGTGGATGTTGTTGTCTTCACGGCGATGATCTCTGGGTATTTGCATAACGGCTTGCATGTCGATGCGTTAGAGATGTTTAGACGGATGGTTAATGTGAAAATGAGACCAAACGAGATAACTCTGGTGTCGATTTTACCGGTGATAGGCGGTTTGTTGGCGTTGAAACTCGGGAGGGAGCTCCATGGTTTCATCATCAAGAAAAGTTTCGATAAGAGGTGCAATATCGGATCCGCTGTTATCGACATGTATGCTAAGTGTGGAAGAATGGATCTCGCTTATGAGATTTTCGGGAGACTCTCTGAGAAAGATATTGTTTCTTGGAACTCCATGATCACGCGTTGTGCGCAGAGCGATAATCCGAGTGCGGCTATTGATGTTTTCCGTGAGATGGGAGTTTCGGGAACCGGTTTTGATTGCGTTAGTATCTCAAGTGTTCTCTCTGCTTGTGCCAATTTGCCTTCAGAGAGTTTTGGGAAAGCTATTCACTGTTTCATGATAAAGCGGCAGTCACTTGCTTCTGATGTGTATAGCGAAAGTACATTGATAGGTATGTATGCTAAGTGTGGAAACCTCAAAGCTGCGATAAATGTGTTTGAGACGATGAAAGAGAAGAACATTGTTTCTTGGAATAGCATCATCGCTGCGTATGGAAACCACGGGAGGCTAAAGGATTCACTCTCTCTATTTCGCGAAATGGTTGAGAAAAGCGGAGTTCGTCCTGATCAAATCACATTTCTTGAGATTATATCTTCGTGTTGTCACGTTGGAGATGTCGACGAAGGTGTTCGTTTCTTCAGATCCATGACTGAGGACTACGGAATCAAACCGCAGCAGGAGCATTACGCTTGCCTTGTTGATCTGTTTGGACGAGCTGGTAGGTTAAACGAAGCTTATGAAACCGTAAAGAGGATGCCGTTTGCTCCAGACGCAGGAGTTTGGGGAACGTTGCTTGGAGCATGTTGGCTTCACAAGAACGTCGAGCTCGCTAAAGTTGCTTCGAGCAGGTTAATGGAGTTGGATCCGAGGAACTCTGGTTACTATGTTTTGATCTCGAATGCGCATGCTAATGCTGGAGAATGGGGAGGTGTGACTGAAGCAAGAAGCTTAATGAAAGAGAGAGGAGTTCAGAAAATTCCAGGTTCTAGTTGGATCGAAGTCGACAAAATAACTCATTCGTTTGTCTCTGGCGATGGGAATCATCCAGAGTATTCACATATCTACTCTTTGCTAAACTTACTTCTCGAGGAGCTGAAGCTAGAAGGCTATGTTCCACAGCCTTACCTTCCTCTTCATCCACAGTCGTCAAGAAAACTAAATCCAGCTTGAAGACTCAAACAAAAGTATAGAAAACCAGGTATATATCTCTTTAGTCACATTTAAACATTGGGTTAAATTTATATAAATGTGTGTGTGGCTACAATGTTTTTTTAAGCATGGCCTGTGTGTGTCTGTTCTCGTGTTGAAGCAGTTGCGGAGATGTAATAAGCAACAGCGAAGAGGCCGTGAATGAAACAGAGGATCCCTCCTATGGACAGAACACGATGGTGCGAAATCCCACAAGCTTTCCTTGATCTTGAGTTTGCCATCGTCCCTACGATCAACATGGAGAATGCAATTGCCAATATGATCCTGAGAAAACACAGAAAAAGAGATCTTGAATCGATTTTTTCTGCAAGTTTCTTCTTCATCACAAGAAGGATTTACACATTTGGTTCTGTTTATATAGTTGTTTGGACTTACCAGGAGAATATCAGAGAAGCCACGGCGAGCTGTTTATTGGCGGAGGATTTTTCTAAGTCTTGTCTTGAGACAACACAGAGACACCCACCAAGCAGATTTGCGGTTACATGGGCTAATGCCAAAAGGATGCATGCAGCTAAACCGTACTTGAAGGCTGTGTAACTCGGGTCTCTACATTCGAATATCCACATCTTCAAATGCTTCACCTGCATCCAATCAAACAAAGAAGTTAGTGAAATCCGCAATTCCTATAGACATTTGTTGGTGTGTAGTGTATAATGTACCTTGTTCTGAGCTATTTCGGCTTCAATGCCAAGAATTCCAGCGGAAACATCCATGGCTATGATCAAGATGCAGATGAAGAACCCTACATTCCTTGTCATTTTTTCTTCTTACAGCTTTGGTCTTCAATGAAATTAAGTTCTTATTAGCAAACAAAGAAGCAGAAAGGATTGTTGTTGAAGTAACAACTTGTTCTTGTATTTATTGGCAATCAGAGATTTAAGCTTGAAGAAGAGACTCTCTTGGTTGGATGGAATAAGAATAAAGCTGGACATGAGTCTCCCCTTTCATGCATTTTCACTAAAGATCATGTTAAGAGAATATAAGTTTAGCTGTGATCCTTGATGTAAAACTCCTTTTTCCATTAACTTTTAAAATATTTTTGAAGGACATATACATTGTATTAACCTTATTAATCATGAGGACACACGAAAGGATTTTTTTCTTATTTTGTCAAAGAACAATCTCATATTTCAGACTTCAGAGGCATTAATGAAGTTTGTTAATGGACAAGTCCTCAAAATTATTTATTTAGGCTAATTGCTTTATTGTATGTTTTCTTTTAGCTAATTGTTAAGTTGTATGGGTTTTTTTCAACCCGTTGCTTAATTGCATGTGTTCTTTATTCTTCCCTTCCATCATGTTAATAATAAACCTTTTTAATATTCGGATTCTTAACGACCAGCCAAGCAAAGAAGAAAAAGAACGTTTGCGGTTTGAAACGTTTTGCGTTATCTAATCGCTGTCACCCAAGAAATTAAGATGGGCTGAAAGGCCCAACTAAACAGGCTTCAGACAAAGATAAATCACGTCTCTTTGTCAATGACGTGGCTACGTTGGAAAAGAAACGGATTAGGATTCCGCAAAAACACGAGAATGCGTTGATGACGTGGCACTTTTCTCTAGAAGCAGCTCCATTCTTCGATTGCTCTGTTTCTTTCGTCCTTTAAAGTTTTTTTCGAGAAGAACGATGATCGGCCGGAGTAGCTTCGAGGACGAAGAGGTGGACAGAGAGAATGGCGGCTCAATACAGATGGAAGAGCTTCGAGGAGAACGAAGATCGGCCGGAGAAGCCTCGCCGTTACGGTGTTACGGAGATGCGAGGTCCTCGTTACTCCGTTCTCAGCCAGAACGTTCTTCAGGTACCTACCAATGGTTAATTTCATTTTAGCTCCTCTATCACTATTTCTTGACATAACGATACAATAGTTTCTGAAGAAAATCGAACCGATTTAAGGGTCACGAATCCCTGATTTCACCAGCAAAGCACGATTCGCTTGAGAGGAGTAATCAAATGTGTTAACCGGATTCTGATAAGGCTCTTACGGGTGATGGTGTTTGTAGGAAATTTTTGATTCGATGGGGCAATTTGTTGATGGGTTAAAGTTCTCGGGAGGCTCCAACAGTTTAATCCCAAAATCATTCATCAAACAAGCCATTAAAATGGCTCATGAGCACGATGTGTATGTCAGCACTGGAGACTGGGGTGAGCATGTTCTTCGTAGTGGTCCTTCAGCTTTCAAAGAGTATGTAGAGGTAAGTAAAGCTATTTTGAAAGATCACATCCATTATCCATAGGAAAGGTTTGGTGTTGGAGAAGAATTAGGTAAGTTTCGAGCTTAATTGTCTTCTTTTTGCAGGAGTGTAAGCAGTTGGGGTTCGACACTATTGAGCTGAATGCAAATTCGCTTGAGATTCCGGAGGAAACTCTTCTAAGATACGTACGTCTGATCAAGAACGGTGGCCTCAGAGCCAAACCTATGTTTGCTGTGAAATTTAATAAGTCTGATATTCCTGGGAAGAATAGGGCATTTGGTTCCTATGTTGTTCCAGAACCTCGCTCAAGCGGTAAGAAACACAAACACAGTCTTCTTGGTCAGAAGCAAGAGTTTTCAGATTTAGATGGTTACTAAGAGATTATCCCTTTTTTCAGAGTTTGTTGAGGACATTGATCTCTTGATCAGAAAGGCTGAGAGGTGTTTAGAAGCCGGGGCGGATACCATTATGATTGATGCAGATGATGTCTGCAAATACGCAGTTTCTCTCCGAGCAGACATAATAGCCAAAGTCATAGGGCGTCTGGGAATAGAGAAGACTATGTTCGAAGCATCTGATGCGAAGTTAGCTGAGTGGTTCATCAAACGTTACGGTCCAAATGTATCTACTGCTTCCACTCTCTACCAATTTCTCGTTTTTTGTTTAAATAGTTGCCCTCACAGGATTCTTGTCTCCATTTTCTTATGTTTTCAGGTGAATCTCTATGTGGATCATTCTCAGATAATGGATCTTGAGTGCCTCCGTGGTCGTCATCTGGGCAAAGATCACCAATCCGTTCTCAGTTCCTCCTACTTCTTGTTTTGAAATAATAGCTCTTCCACCACAAATAAAGCTGTGTGAGTTTCTTATGTATTATGTCGTATGTGTCTGATGTTGTGTGCTTCTTTGATGCTGTATGAAAGAAAATGTTTAGGAGAATATTGTCATAGACTCATATGGGACAGTGATCTCCTGAGTCTCTCAGAATGTATACAGCCTAGTAAAGTAATGCACCTAAGGCTTGTTTGTCTCGTATGAAGAGTTTTCACTGACTGAAACACTTTGAGCAATCATTATCCTTTAAGCTATGAGTCCAGGACATCAATTCTGTAAATATTACTTTTACTATATTCGTAGAAACTTCTCTGTAATATCTTTTGATAAATATAGAAGAGACATAAATTTCTATCAATAGCCTAATTTAACTAAATGCCAATTCTTACCCATAAACACTTAATTTGAATCTCACCAAATTAGATATTTTTGTTATCTCTCTCTCTCTCTCTCTCTGCCACCCTAACACATATTGTAACCATAGTTATCATATTGATATTCTAAGTTTAGTTTGTGCTTAATCATCAGGATGATGGCACCCATTTTCGTGCTTGGTTATCTTTTTGCTGTTTTTAGTTACAACGTTTATTTCCTGCAACATACAAACAGTATGTGTATTGGTTGGTTAATCTGCCAGTTTTTGGAACCAAAGTTAGCTAAACACAATGGGGATCTATCTATAAAAACAAGAAAAATCTTGTAGAATGTTGCCAAAGCTGTTTCTGTCTCAATAATAATAATAATAAGAAGGAACATTTTCAGGGAAGAGTGAGGAAACTCTGAAAATGGATCCTTCTTTTAGATTGTGTTTTCTTGCTGTAGCATTTGGTTTTGTGTTAATCATAAATGGAAAGCTTAGCTTTGCAACATCATCCTACGAGGCCGATCCTCCACAGCCTTTCATCCCTGAGCGTGCCGGTTCTGAGTTTGACGATCCCAGATTTGTGGCCGGCGGCCCTGCTGGCGATCCCGGGTTTGGGGCCGGCGGCCCAGCTATGGCGCCTTTCGGCGCTGACTTTGGTGTTCCCGAGTTTGGTGGTCCCGACTTTGCCGGCATGATGGGGCCGGTTCCTGAGCCGCTTTTCGTCCCCGAGTTCCCGGTATGTAGTCTTAATTGTTTTGGATATGGCAAGAATAAAAAAAGATTGTTTGTAGTTTCTTATGTGTTGTTTGTTAATTGTCTGATAAAAAAAAATAGGTTTATATATTTTACTTGGGGGAAAAGAAACTGGATGATCCTAAGTTGGTGACTCAATCACATCTTGAAATCCTGAAATCGGTTCTTGGAAGGTACAAGAGTGGTTTCATTGATGATTCTTGTGTATATTATATATAACTTGGCTTCTGAATAGGTTGTGATTGCATTATATTTTTTTGTTTGTTTGAATCTTATATGTTACAGCGAAGAAGCAGCAGAGAAGTCAATGGTTTACAGTTATCACCATGGTTTCTCTGGCTTTGCAGCCAAGCTCAAACCGGCCGAAGCAGAGATATTGAAAAGTATTATTTCTTTTATTACATATTTCTCGAGTTCTTCAAAATTCAAAACACTAAGATGTGTTTTTATTAAACCATTTTTTCTGTATTTCTGTCTACTAGATCATCCTGAAGTTATTATTCTTCTGGAAAACCGAAAACTTGTGATGCAAACAACGCGAACTTGGGATTACCTAGGCCTTTTTTCAAACCCAGCTTCTTCTAAAGGTCTTCTACCTGAGACCAACATGGGAAGTGGTGCTATCATCGGCGTTATCGACTCTGGTATATATACATTATCAATCTCTATACCAGTTTCTTTCGTTCTCAACTTTTCGTAGCAGAAGGATAACAATCTCGAGAATTATGTTGAGCAGGGATATATCCAGAAGCAGGCGTCTTCGATGACAATGGATACGGACCAATACCAAAACACTGGAAAGGAGAATGCGTATGTGCTGACCAGTTCAGTGCTAAAGATTGCAACAAGAAGCTTATCGGAGCCAAATACTACATTGATGGTCTTAATTCGGATCTCCAAACAAGTATCAACAGCACTACAGAATACTTATCTCCTAGAGATCACAACGGCCACGGGACTCAAGTATCCTCAACTGTAGCTGGTTCTTCCGTCTCTAACGTGACTTTCCCAGGCCTCACGAACGGTTCGATCATGAGAGGTGCGGCTCCTAGTGCACATATAGCCATGTACAAAGCGTGTTGGGATGTTGAAGGAGGAATGTGTTCAGTTGCTGATGTATGGAAAGCTTTCGATGAAGCCATTAACGACGGTGTTGATGTCTTGTCTGTTTCTATCGGCGGTTTATCAGAGATCAAGTCTCTTGATATTGAGATCGACATCGCGATTCCAGCATTACACGCCGTGAACAGAGGCATTCCTGTTGTTTCACCAGCTGGTAACGGAGGATCTCGCAGTGCATCGGTTATCAACGTTTCTCCATGGATTATAACCGTCGCTGCGACTACTCTTGACCGGTCTCTCACCGCAATGGTCACACTCGGGAACAATAAAACGTTGCTGGTATATATATATAATATATACAGTCTACACATTTTTTTGTTTTTCTCAACTTTGAATCTCTCTAACTAAAGTTTCTGTTTTTTTTTCAGGGTGAGAGTCTGTACGCAGGACCAGAAATGGACTTTACCGATGTGAAATTTATTGATGATCATTCTAGTGTTGATGCCAGTCAAATGAAAGGTAAAGTTGTGATGTTCTTCGATACACAGAAGGACGTAGTGCCTACGCCAGACATTGTTAAGGAAAATGGTGGTCTCGGTGTCATTTATGTGAGAAACCCGATAGATCGTATTGATTGTCCCGTGAACTTTCCCTGTATCCAATTGGAGATCGACGTTGGATCCGAGTTATTCTTCTCCACTGAAACTGCGAGGTTGTCATCTTCACAAACCTCGATCGGTCTTTAAGTAATATCTCATCTTCTTATATATGAGAGAATCTGAAATTGTTGTTTTTGTTTTGTGTTCTTTTCAGTAGCACACCAAAGGTTAAGATAAGCACATACAAGACAATAATCAGTGAAGCTGTAGCAACTAAAGTTGGAAAATCGTCGGCGAGAGGTCCTAGTGCAATTTCACCCGCCGTTCTTAAGGTTTTGTTTCATATTCATCTCTTATTCCAAATCCACCAAATCTTGATTTACTCAACTTTCTTCTTTCCTTTCTCTGTTTAATGCAGCCGGATATAGCAGCACCTGGTGTGACCTTACTAACACCTAGAATACCAACAGACGAAGACACTAGCGAATTCGCTTACTCAGGAACATCAATGGCAACTCCTGTTGTAGCAGGAATCGTTGCACTCCTCAAGCGTATGCATCCTACTTGGTCTCCTGCTGCAATCAAATCAGCTATTGTCACAACAGGTTTAAGTTGATATATGTCTCTTTTAAAACTCTGTTTCTCTTTACGACGAACTCAGCAATTTTGACCAGAGACTTTCCGTGTTTTTCAGCCACGAAAACCGATCCACACGGTGAGCTTCTATCTGCAGATGGAACTAACCATAAACTAGCTGATGCATTCGATCATGGAGGAGGTCTTGTGAATCCGGAGAAAGCCACAGATCCTGGTCTTGTTTACGACATGGGAATCAACGATTACATACACTACTTATGTTCCGAAGCTTTGTACACAGACAAGAGAGTTTCAGCTATAACCGGAAACGTCACTGAAAAGTGTCCGAGCTCAGGTTCATCGATTCTTAACCTTAACTTACCGTCTATTACCATCCCCAACGTCAAGGCCGGAAACGTCACGGTGACGCGAACCGTGACAAACGTCGGGAACGTTGATTCGGTTTACGAGCCTGTGCTCGAGGCTCCGCAGGGATTCGTCGTCAAGGTTTCGCCGGAGAAGTTAGTGTTTAACAAAGGAATCAGCAAGGCTACGTTTACGGTGACCGTGTCTTCAGGGTCACACAGAGTGAACACTGCGTTTTTCTTTGGGAGTTTGACTTGGACTGATGGAGCTCACAATGTCACAATCCCAGTTTCTTTGAGGACACGATTCATCGAAAATTATTTCTTGTAAATTGTTGTAACCCGATTATTAAATAAGATTAATGTTTTCATGGGATCCATTTGTTAGGGGGCGTGGTGAAAAATCATACAATCAGGGATCATGAATATTGAGAAAAGAAAATTAGTTTGGTTTTAGTACGGTGTTGCTTTTGTAAAAGAAGATGCTACCATGAACAATATATTTTCAAGCTTCCGTTAATTACCAAACTCTTCAATGAACAAACTTGGATGTAAAGTTAGGGTTTCGACTCATCATTAAGTGTAAACTCTTTACTTCTTTGGTTGCTTCACTTGGACTAAGGACTCACGTTTTGAAGTATAGAAAAAGAAGATTCCTCAAATTCGTCATAAACTGTTATAACTTTTGTTTTCTTTCTCCTTTGTATATATGAAAACAACAACAAATAAATATTTTTATTCTTTGTGTTTGACTCTAACTGAAATCACATCAATAATAACAAACTAAGACTGAGATAAAGATTCTCTCTTTCTATCTTCTCTCTCCACTAACAGACTTCTCTCTACATGAGAAGCAACTATATATAAACTCATGCCTTTTAACCATTATTATATAAACAAGAAAGAGAATAAATTTTGTCTGAAAATCATCAGTGAAGAAGGAAATAATAATGGGAGGAGGAAGCATATTTCAAGAACCAGTCAGGATTAGCCGTAGGAGACAAGTAAGGAAAGAAAAGGAAGAAGATGAAGCCAACGAAAGCTTCAAATCTCCAAATCTTGAAGCAGAGAGACGTAGAAGAGAGAAGCTACATGGTCGGCTTATGGCTCTGCGATCTCATGTCCCAATTGTCACCAACGTAAATCCGAAATCTCCATATTTTGAATTATGTGTTTGTGTGTGTTTGGTTATGATTGTTGTTGGTTCTGTTTTTTTTGGGGTTCAGATGACTAAAGCGAGTATTGTTGAAGATGCGATTACTTACATAGGAGAGCTTCAGACGGAAGTTGTGAATCTCACAGAGAAGCTTCATGAAATGGAAGAAGCTCCTCCTGAGATTGATGAACAACAAACGGATCACATTATAAAAATTGAACATGAAACTATTGATTTGAAAGAGGAGATGAAGAAACTAGGAATCGAGGTTTAGTTTATTTTATTATATAATTTCTCTAATCATTTCTTGATTTGTTTTGTTATTATAATCTTTCTTGATTATATGTTGTTATTTTGGACAGGAGAATGTGCAGTTGTGTAAGATTGGGGAGAGGAAGTTTTGGTTGAAGATAACAACAGAGAAGAAACCTGGGATCTTTACTAAATTCATGGAGGTTATGAGGTTTATGGGCTTCGAGATCATCGACATTAGCTTAACGACATCAAGTGGAGCAATTCTTATATGTTCCTCTGTTCAGATACTTCAGGGACTCTGGGATGGTGATTCTGTTGATCTTCAACAGACTAAGGAATTTCTGTTGGAAGTCATGAGAAGCAATCCATGAGTATACACATCTTGGAAATTTTCGATCAAATAAAATTTACAATGTTAATTACAGTTTAATATGAAATGAGTTCAGATGAAACAGATTTGCTTCTTCTTTATTGCATTTTGTTTATGCAAGATGTCAATCATCCTCTTCTCTCTCAGTCCAGTGTTAATTGAACCTTCTGGTGTATTCAGTGTCTTTTCTTTTCCTTCTCATGCTTACTGTGAGAAAACATAGCTTGTTGCAATTTCTTAGAAACTTGTAATGATGTACAAGAATGTGATTTAGGGTTTAAGAATCTAAACCTGGAATTCATTTAAGGAGGTTTGAAATAGAAGAGTGACTTATTTGTGAATAAACTTGGTTTCAACTGTTAAGAACAATATTGGGTTTTTGAAGTTAATAATAAAAGATGAGGTCAAAAAGCAAATTTCGCCATTTGTTGAGGTAAAGAAAGAAATCACCGGATAATTTATATGGAGCCCAACCCGACAAAGCCCAACCAAGGTGGCGGAACCTACAATAGGGCTTTATCGTAAATGGGCTTTTAAGTGGGCTAACTCTTGAGTTGGCCCATTTAGTTCCTACTATTTAAGAGCTGCCTAACTCTAGTGATGTTCAGGATGGAAGTTATGGAACACCTAAGCTATTATTTAAAACTTCAAATTAGTCATTAGAGCCAAAATCAGAAGACAAATATAATTCCTCTAACTCTTAACTAACACTCTATAAAAAAATAATATACTTCTTAACACTTTTTGACTTTCCCCACTCCACAAATATATTTCATTAACGCATATGATTTTAATAATACGATAACTTATAGTTTTTTTCTTAATTCATGAAAAGAAAATAACACGATGAACCGATTACTCTGAGAATTAAATGGACTACGGTGAAATAAAGTGTCCGCGTAGGCATGCCCAATTGACAGTTCTACTATTTGATCTGGACTTTTGAGTCTTGCATTGTGTGTTACCTCATTTCTAAGAAAAACCAAAAAGAATGCAGAATGCATATGCATACCCTTTTTCTTTCTATTTATTAGAGATCAAGTTTAATCATATACTTGCATCATATTATTATGTAATATGAAAAAATGACGATGATAATTCTAGTAACGACCATTGTTATATTGGAACTCATTTCCCATGTGAAAGCTCTAATATTGCTTAAGCCTTGCAGTTTCGGAAAATCAATATTTGTATCTTTATGAAACTTGCATGATTTAATATCAAATTATATGTAATTTGGACAAATGAGCTTAAGTATCTCACCTTGGCGCTTGAATTTCATGCTAATGATTAAAAAAGTATTCGCAGTTTTCTTTTACCTTCTCCTTTATAATCTACCACGTCACCAGGCACCTGACATGTTGCTCGGAAGAAAGCCCACTTTGGGCCTGTGCTGTCTTATCGCCATACACCACAGGCTATAACTTCAGTTTCCAGTTCCACGGCACCACCTCCGATAATTTAAACTGGAATTATCTTGTTTCATTCAATTTCTATTGCTCACAACCGCCCCAAAAGAGTAGCACTTCAAACGATACTAGATCCGTGTTTGTTTGACTATCGTAAATATATTACTGCCTAAGAAGATACAAATAAATCACGCCTCAGCGTAAAAATTTTCTGCCACAGTTTGCAACACTATTTATTATAACTAGTAACAATCAGTGTTTTCAAATTTCACTAGTAACCAATCAAAGCTAATTCGAAAGCTGATATATTTTACCTTGAACATGGTAAGGTAATATATCAACTTCCTTTTAGTTTTGATTGATTACTTGCAAAATCTGAAAGCACTGCTGATTATTAATCGTAGAAAATAGCATTACAACAACATAACATGAAGAAAAAACAACTATTAACAAATCATCTCGTATTACTCTTTTGTGTAAATTCGAATTCAACATTAACTTCTTCACTTAGGAAGAACAATCTAAGAATACAAGTTAATTTTAGTAAGAAAATCTTTCTCTCAAAGTAAGTTATTTATATGTGTTGTGCACATACAGATAAACACATACAAGAGTCCAAAAACGTGTAAAGTATAAATAAACACACAAAAGTTGTGAAGCAACTAATAAGTTAGTTACGTTGTATTTATACGGATAAACACATACAAATTATGTAAATTACATTTAAAAAGGTCGAGAAAACGTTTCAAGTATAAAAGAAGACACACACACTCTTTTGTTTTGTTAAGCATAAATCACGTACACACACAAAAGTTGTGAAGACAGTTAATACACATAAAAGGTGTGTGCTATATGTTTATACGTGTAAAAGGGAGACAATAAATACATATATAACATCGACCAAATTGGGTACTCATAAACACACCGTTTTTTGTCTGTTTCATATATTTTATAGTATTGTATACAGTATACTTGTTATGTATTAATCGTTTTGTGACTCTTTTACACGTAAACACATAAACACATGAAATTTGTGTGTTTATGTGTAAAAGAGTTACAAAACGATTAATGCATGCACGTGTAAAGTATACAATAAACAAAATGTATATATATGTATATCAAATTAAATTCTGTATCGTTAAATTAACTGCATTTGGTTAAAAAAATCCGTGAAAGAAATACATTTAAAAACCTACACGATGTGTTTAATGTTTGGTTATGCATGAAAATATATACGTTGTTCCGAAGCCTCAGATCAGGTACGTACTAACGTTGGTCACCACTATCGTTATACCAAATCGATACAAATTGTACTGATTTATAGATAGGGTCACTCGAGAGAGAGGTCGAGGCTTAGTTCGACTAAAAAGGAAGATAGAGCAGCCTTGACGATAGAATCTGCTATGGAATTCATATCGCAGGGTGATAAACCGGAACATGGATCTTTGAATTGAGCATAACATAAATAAAATATCTTTGTTCTTTCAGTGGCAAGTAGGAATTAGCAGCATGAGCAAGTGTGTTCTCTATGCGTCTTGTAGCATACGTGCGCCGTGGATTAATCATTAGGGTTTTCAGTTCCTTTATAATGTTTGCTTTCGGTAAGCGTTAGTTAAATTTTGAAGTATTAACTAAAACGAGGTTTTATCCATATATTTTTTGTGTAGATTCGATTAAATTCATCTCACGAGCATGTTCTAACTTATTCTTTCCAAATTTTAGTTGAGCTGATTATCAGGCCCCGTCTAGTTCGATAAAACCCTCGGTTGAGTTAAGATTCTTCAAGGATCACTATAAGTTATGTGATGATCCTCATGTAAGTAAAACTATATGTTGGAGTATATTTTTTAAATTATACAAAGTAAAATAAAATAGATAGAGCCGTATAGTCTGTTCAACATCAAGAGAGCCATAATAGAACGTCTGAACAGAAGAGATAAGAATTGCGTCACTTTAAAAAGTTAGACCAATGTCAGTACTGATATCGATTCATAATTTTTTTATCCCAATTCAGAACACTCTTCTTTTCAGCAATGGTGATGAGGTACGTGTCTCAAAATGTTAGAGCAAACTTGAGACAACCACATGCATCCTAACTCGAACAAAAGTCTGAGTCATGCATTGAGGAGCAGGAAATACAGTCCACCTAAAAGCTAATTCATTTAATGCCCATTTAATTCCTACTATTTCAGAGCAGCCTAGCTCTAGTTATGTTCATTTGGGTAAGGTAGGAAGTTGGAACCTAAGTTTAATTTTATTTTTAAATTAAAAATATTATAGAGCAAAATCAATAAGATAATTACAATTTGCCGTCCACACCTTAATAACACTCTATAAATATAATACA